AGAACTATGGGATACACGCAGGGCAACCCAGGGGACACACCGAGAGACCGTAGCGGAACAATTCACGGGACAACCCGCGTGGCAACCAAGGGACAACCCACGGCACAGCCACGGCACAGCCCACAGAAACATTACAACCAGGATTTGGCAGCCCATGGCCGTTTGGCTCAAGCCACACAACTCCCGATGTCGGCGTCAACCGACGAGTCGTGCGACTCAGTCTCACACCGCGCCTTTGTCAGAGCACCCATGAGCGGCACGCGCGCGGGCGCGACGGACATTGCTCAGCAGGCGTGCCCAGTTTTAACGCGGGACACCCGCGGTACCCGACAATACAATCGACACCGTCAGTAAGGATGGGTAACCTTCCCAACGGTACCCCTGCATCCGTACCAGTTGGTCCATCCTTGACTATTTTCAACGGCCCGCCGCGCTCGAGAAAGCTTCAAAACGGGCGTCCAAGGGGTTTGCATCCTTATCGCATACCATTACTATCAGTTTTGAGTGTATGTGGTAAGAATCGCAAAATCGCCTTACGTTGCTCATGGAATTCGCATTCGCGCATATCTTTACATGGAATTCTTGTCATGTTTCAAAAGTTCCACGCGTACGTTACTAATTGACCTGAGTAACGTACGAGTGATATCGCGAGTTTCAACGAGTCGTGCGAACTCGGATCATAACTTTTTGATCCAGGGGACGGTAGGTGTTCGTGCTCGCGGCTTCGCGCGAAATGCGTCACATCAAAACAGCGATCGTCAACTTCAGAAAGAATTGGGCAGGTCTTGAAAACACGGTGGGTGGACAGGAAGTGTCCACTCCCATTGGCGCCAAGACCACTCTACGACGAAGTGCATCCAAAAACGAAGTAGCCCCTCCCCCAAAACCCAAAGTTGGCAGTGGCGTGCGCGAGGCAACGCGCTAGGGGCAAAATGTGGACACTTCAACTTTGGTCTTGGGGGGAGGAGGGCGGGACATATGTCATACAACATGTTATCCAGCATCACGTGATATGGTTTTCGTTCCATGGGTGTGGATTCTTCTTGTCCGGTCACCGTAGGCCACCTTCCCCCAAGTCTGAGAGTTGGACCTTGCCAGCTGAGACAATTTGCTTGCGGGGGCCTGCATGGCTGGGGTAGAGCCCCCGACTGATTCAGATCAAATTCTCCCGACCCTTCCTTGTGGGCTTACAGGTCCCCAGACGCCCTTTGGGCATGGAGGTAACATATACACCGCAAAAATTACAGAAGGACATTCTATAAAGTGGCTAACCGTATAGTAGACTCTGTGACGGATGCACATCTACACTACTCCCAAGATTCCTGTAGGCCGAAGCTCGCACTACACCTTCGGGGATGGTCTGACCTTTAACAACAGGCTCCCTGGGGATATGGGTACAAGGCTCCCAGGGACCAGAAGACGGCAAGACGTGCACAACCAGTTCCTTCGAAGTTGCCGCAAAGTTCCTCTGCATGCAGCACGCCTTCGTGGCTCATCATTGCCACGTCCTCCTTTGAGGAGAAGGCGCTTGCCAGAGGGGGAAAATGTTGGCGAGTCGAGCGCCCTGCTGGGGCGCGCAGACAAAGCTCGCACGAGAAGCATGCGGCGACCACTGCGGGAGCGTGACCCAAAGTAGGCTCTATGTGCTCGGCGTCGCGACGGAGAGGAGGCGACAAGTTTGGTCCAGGTGTGTATGTTGGCTGGGTATGCTGGCCGGCAGCCAAGAAGAGAGCGTTGGCGGTCCGAGCTCTGAGAGGCCGCACGGTTTCCCATGTGTCAACAGCCAGGGTGTCAATTAGCGCTCTACGGGCCCGCCGGCGAACCTGCGCTGCGATGGCGCCAGCCACGTCAGTCCGCGGGACCCCTCCCGACCACCGCTTGATTCCCAGACTCAGCCGCCGCAGCCTCCGGCACAGCGTTAGCAAATGCGTTCCCCGCGGCCCTGATTCTCAAACGAATGCAGGCCAGATTCTTGTAATCGTCATCCATGTGGCTGGGGATCCATTTAACCCGGACCGCCTCGGCCCTTTAGGGGCCCCTGGCGCGGAGAGCTTCACGGATCCGAGCCCAAAGGTCATAATTGAGGCCATGGACTTTGACACGCTTAATTCGGAGCCGCATTAGATAGAGGCCATTGTGGATCGTAAACTGCGTTCCCTCAGAGCGCTCAGGGGCGAGCGCGAAAGCACGTAATTCATCTCTTGGCACCGTTTGGCATGAGCCTCTCAGTTCACCAACTGCGCCAGGCTGGAAAACCCGTCCGTCCTCGCCGCCGGTGACCATGACGCAGACGTCCGCGCATACGCGCCTCCTCCTTCTCGGATCCTCCGAAAACCGGCCGCACGATCCATCCCCAGAAGTGTAAAGGCGTCCACGTCGCCTGGCTCCTTCAAAGTCTCGACAGACGTGTACAGTACCGACCAGTCCGCTCTGTCCTCTTGGAAATTCGGTGTGGTAGAATCGGGGGATGGAGTTCTTCGTAGCCACAGACTAGGATCGCTCTCGTACTGGGTCCACGCCTGGCTCAGAAGGTGGTCCGTCTTGGCGTAGTCGGGGTGCCCATACTGGACCTTGCAGCCCCACTCCGAGGGGAGGAGGAAGAGGAGGGGGAGGAGGAAGAAGAGGAGGAGGAGGAGGGGAGGAACAGGAACTGCAGGACGGGGAGGAGGAGGGGAGGAACAGAAACTGCAGGGCATGGAGGAGGGGGGAGGGGGGATGAGGAGGAGAAGAGGGACAGTGAGAGCAGGAGGATGGGAACATAAGGGATGATGATGGGGATGAGAAGGAAGGGACCAGAGGAAACCCACAATGCATCAACGATGCCGCAGTACACCCTCCTCTCCCAAGTCCCCTCCTCATACGCCCCTACAAGCTTCCCTGCCTCACTACAAAAAGCGCTCCCCTTGAAAGACCAGCGCCGTATGGGCCTGCCAGTTAGGAATTGCCTTGCATCTCTCTGGCGCGTAATCAGGAATGCGAAATATACAATGCAACGCGGTGTTCGGTGAGATCTCGCTTTCGACAGAAGACACCCCCCCATCCGTGCAATTGTTGCGCAAGTTTGCGCAAGTTTGAAGAGGGAGTTCATTTTTGAAACGGGATTGTCCTTGTTCCATGCAATGATACATATGTTGAAATGTGCGTCTTTCACGTTGCGGAATTCGCGCGGGAGCCACGCTTTGAACCATAATCGTCCTGCATCTTCGCAACGGTCGCAAGTGCTTAAGACAAATGCGCGCGGCGTTTCGGCAAGAACAGCATGTTGGAAACCGCGTGTTAAAAACGATCGTTGCAAGCTATTGAGAAATGCGAGAGCCCGATGTTGAAACCGATTTGTGCTCCATCATTGTATCTTTCGCAGAAGGTTGTAACGAACGTGTGCGGCGTTGGGGCGAGAACCACGTCTTTAGAACCACCTGCCCTTCATTCTTGAAGCTACTGCAATCGTCAATATCCAGGCTCATAAGCGGCGAGAAAGTGTCAGGCGAAACACATGGCCAGGGAGGGAAGAGGGAAATTTGCAGGAAAAGGTGGCGGATTACAGGTGTAAGCCCCAGACCAATCAAGTATGTTGCAATAGACTTGCGCCCCAAGTTCCCTCTCGTTGGGAGACAAACGTTTGAGAATCCTCAATCTTGCCAAAACACCATTCTTGGGATTTCGACGCCGTGAACCAACGTTACTATTGCGTCCTGACGATCCTGAATCGCGTCAGGACACGATTCTTGGCAATTCAACACCTCGAATCAACATGATTGCTCCGCCCTGACAATCCCATATCACTCAAGAACACGATTCCTCGGACGCCAACCATCAGACTTCCTTAGACGTTGTCAACATGTTTAAGACGAGTCCGTGCGGAGTTAAGTCGAAAGCCACAGTTTGAAAAAGGACCGCCTTCCATCCGTGACTCTTTTGCTAACGTGTATGTAAAACGAGTATGCGCGGCGCTCAGGCGAGAGCCGAACCCCGTCTACATCTTTGAAACTTATCCAAACTTCTAAGGCGAATGTGCGTTGCGCGAAGGCGAAAGCTAGATGTTGAATATTATCCGCCCTCCATCCCTGAAGCTGCAAGCTTTTAAGACTAATGTGCGCGGCGCGAAGGCGAGAGCCACATATTCAAAACCGCCAGCCCTCTATCCGTGAAGCTCATGCAGTATGTCAAAACGACTGTGCGTGGCGCTAAGGCGAGAACCATCTGTTCAAAACCACCCGCCATCTTCCCGCGAAGTTGCTGCAAAGTTTAGGCTCCAGGGTCACAATTGGTGAGGAAGTCTCAGGCGAAGCGCCCGACCCGTCCAACCGATACGTCTCGGGGTGCGACAGGAAGGGGCGATTTTTCAAGACAAGGAGCTGATGATGATGATGAGGAGGAGGAGGAGGAGCACCAGGCAAGGGTGATTTCGAAGGAGGGAGGGGAGGAGTGGGGAACACCCAGAAGAAGGAGGGAGATGAAGATGGTGACGAAAACATCCCTCCTCCCTCCTTTCTCCTTCTCCACATCCCTCCCCCCTCCCACCGCCGTCTTCCCATCCTCCCTGCCCCTTCTTTCGCCCCTCTCCGCTCTGTCGTCCTCGCCCTCTCAGACCTCATCTCCCCCCTCGCACTCGTCCTTTTAGGACTCTTGTCCTGCTCCTCTTTCCTCTCGTCGTCCTCGTCCTGTTGGTTCACAAGGGCACCCTAGGTCCATATTTCGTTGTACCCCATGCTTAACTTCAACGCACAGCTTCCACGCACGATGTCCCGGATGAGTGACGCCAGCCTTTTCTTGTGACCTTGCACCCTCAAGGCTCACCATAATTTATTCTCTTTCCACCATCCGCCTCGCGCCCACCCGCTCATTCGTTTTCGTCTTCCTGGGATGGTCGCTTTTGCTACGGCTCCCCAACCACCCTCATCCTCTACCTCTCCTTCCCTTCCTCCTCCTCCTCCTCCTCCTCCTCCTCCTCCACGGGTGGCCACCTCTGCTGCGACTGCCGAATCGAAGCAAGCCGACAGATCTGCGCCTGCATAGACAAGGCGTCCTTCGGAGAGGTCATGTTGGCCAAGCTTGGCAACGATGTGCTGAGCGCGAAGCGCTGCCACGTCGGCGCTGACGGCTCCATGACTAAGGAGCGAGAGGGGATGAGGATGAGGAGGAAAATGAAGAGACGGGGGACGACGAAGAGGAGGAGGATAACGACGAAGAGGATGGTGGAAAAATCTCTCGCGGCAGCACGGTAAAGAGGGAGAGGTAGTGGGAGGGCGGGGGAGGAGAGGGATGGATGAAGGGGGGTTGACAGACAGATTGTCTCCTGTCCTTCCACTTGCCATAGCCTTATCTTGCCTGTTGCCAGCAGGGTGTACGCGTGCGAGATGCATGCGCGTGGCCGCTGGCATTTCGGCTCGAGTGCCTGATAGCGGAGTCGGCGCGACTTTTGGGAACGGTCGAGCTGCGAGGAAACCTTTACTTCGTGGTCATGTTTGATGGTGCCTCTCGTCTCCCAACAACTGAAAGTATTAAGGAAGGACTTCGGGGAGTGGCAAGTCTGAGGTTCCCGAAGGAAAGTGGATGAGCTTCGGATACATCTATATATATATATATACACATAAATGACTGCATTGGCGCATCACGCCATGCACCTTGGTCCTTGCAGTTTGGCGTGCAGGCGGAAGAGCAGGAAGGTAAAACAGACAATTTAGCGACAACTCCTTGTTGCATTTTCCGACATCGCCGTTATAACATTCCCTCATATTTCTTCTCCTTCTTCCTCATTGTCGCCCTACCCTGCGATTTCTTCCCCATCCTCCTCAGCCTTTTTTGCGGAGGCTCCTCCTTGGAGAGCCTCTTGGAGGCCCCACGAAAGTTTTCAAGGGCTTCTTGGATCTTCTTGGGGCCTTCTGGAGGCCTCCTGTGCGCCTTTGGGGGCCTCTGGGGGCTCCCTCGGACCACCCTGCCTCCAGCCGCGGTCTCCGTGAACGACCGGGTCACGACTTGGAATGCTTCGGGGGGCGTCTTGAGATGTCTTGAGGCCATCTTGGGACGCCGTGGGGCTCTCTTCGGGCCATCTTGGAAGCCTGCTGTGCCGTTTTGCTTGGCATCGCTCGGACGTGTGCATTTTTTCTTCGGCGAGGACCATCGAGGAGCATCCTTGATCATTTGGCGAAAAAGCCACGCACGAAACCGACAAAAAGCACAGGGAATGAACGTCCGAGCGATGCCCAGCTCGGGGCTCCTCTTGGACCGCCTGGAAGGCCTTTCGGGTGGGGTTTTGGGGGGGCGACTCTCGAGCCTCCCGGGCGGTCTCAGACGCCCGCCCGGAAAGGCCGAAGAGCAGGGCATCCCAAAATCTGACAGGAATTGTGAAGATCCGCATTTTTCTGCTGCGTTTCGAAAGCTTCTTAGAGCTCTTCGTTGGGGGTCGTCTTCGGGCGTCTGGTGCGCGTCTGGGGCTTTTTTTGGGCCCGGTGCCCAGGCCCAGCATGGGCTTGCAGAAACTCCAGAGAGCTTGGAGGGCCTCCTGCAGGGGTTCGGGAGCTCCCCGGGGCCACGGATCCAGGGGGTCCTGTTTCAGGAGGGTGGTCCCACCCCCCGTGGCTGTAAAGACATAGAGAAGGAATATCGGTATCTCAGGATTCGACGTTTCGGCCGATTCGGCTGAAGGCTGCTCCGGGAAGTCATCCGACAGTTCTAGTAGTACTTGGACCGAGGGAAAGTAGACAATCATATGTTGATCTACGGTAGGAGCCATGGCGCCCAACAGACAGCCGCATACCAGTGAGGCCGACAGGTGCGCGCCAAACGGGCCACCGCGCATGTGACAGGGGGCAGGCGCCCGGAAGAGGCCGAGGCAGGGGAAGAGCTGAAGAAGCTGGCACCCCGAGAGCACGAGTTCATCGACCAGGCCCGGGGGATTCGCCAGCCGCGGAGGCGGCGGGGACCCCCAAGGGGGGAGCACGCGGAGGCGGGCGAGGCGCGAGAGGCGCGATTGGGTCCGCGTCGCGAGCGCAGGGTGCAGCTCGGCGCCGTCGCGAGCGCACTGACCGCGAGTGCTGCCCCTGGAGTGCACAGGCAGGCCTGCAGGGCGGAGCCAATGGGCGGAGAGCAGCGCCTCCTCCTCCAACTCCTCCTCCTCCTCCTCCTCCTCCTCCTCCTCCTCCTCCTCCTCCTCCTCCTCCGCCTCCTCCTCCCCCTCCCCCTCCTCCTCCTCCTTTTCCTCCTCCTCCTCCTTTTCCTCCTCCTCCTTTTCCTCCTCCGTTTCCTCCCCCCCGAGCACAGAAGGCGCCGAGTGGCGGAAGTCAGCCACGGAAGGGTACGGCGCGGAGAACTGGACCGGTGAGCTCCGCGAGGTGGAGAGAAGGCGAGCCAGCACGCTGCCGAGGAGGCACATCGGATGTGGTCCGCCTGGTCCGCGGGGATCAGTGGGAGGAACAGGCGTGCCACACCGAGAGAGCGTGCTGCCTGGACGGGAGCAGTCGACGCGACACCAGATCATGACGCTGGAGCTCCGCCATTCAGTGAGCTAGGCCACGGCCCGGGCACCGACGACTTCCGGTTGAAAGATCAGCAAACGCGTTTCGCATGTATTTTCCACATTTTCAGCGGCGGCCGCCGATCGCGCCCAGCCGTGAACTCGCAGCCTTTCAATTGCGCAAGTCCAGCGTTATGAGCCAGTTTCACATTATGTTTCCATCCACGGTAGCTCGAACTCGGATGTTGTTCCGACTTGTCGGGGGAGGAGATCGTTGAGAAGATGGGAAGAGTGCGCGCCGTCGGTGGGAGCATTTGGCCCGATACCTACGCAGACGGGCGCCTGCAAAAACCACTGAGGAAGGTAAAGGTCCCGTGAGACTTGCACCTCAAGTGCGGGGTCTTGTGAGACGACCCCCAAGTGACGGGCGAGGCCAGCCAGGGCAATTGGAGCCCAGGCCTAATGCAAGAAGCGGAGTGTCGGGAGGAACTCTGTTAAGGCGCCGACATGGGCTCCGATGGGATGCCAGTGGTGATGCAGATAACTGGAAACAAGCTGGGTTCGGGCAAGAATTGAGGTCTCTCGTTGGAAATTGCTGCCGATGAGGCAGCCTCCGCTACATCGGCAGCTCTCAGCTCCCCGCACTGGGGTAGCTAGGCCTGCCGGAGAGCGGCCTGGGGGAGGGGCCTGCCGGAGGGCGGCGCCCGCCTGGGACAGGCGTGACTCTTGAAGTCCAGCAGGCGGCATTTGCCGCCCACAGCCTGCCCTCCCCGACGTTTGGCCCGTCCTCTGGAGTGCGTGTGATGTCTTGTTCATGTGGTAGGCGCTTGAGCAGAAAAACGGAGCCATGTAGTAGACGATGGTCGGAAACAACATGTGACGTGAATCTGTCCTCCTAGACCAACGTCAGCCCGCGGTGCCAACATGGATAGCTATGCGCGCGAAGAGCTCAGATTGGTGGCGCCTCGATGCAGCGACAACGCGGCAGTGTGCCTCAAGGTCGAACACATTCGAGGGGCCCATTTCGGCCCCGGAAGCCAACGGAAAACAACCCACGGGCCGACAGCCCATGAGGAGTTCTGGAAACCGATATCGCTCAAGGTGGAGCGGTTCACTCGGTGTCAGAAGCCATGGTCCATGTCGTCAAGGCAGGAATTTGCCTTAGCCCTCTCGGTGTGAAGCTTCTCATCGCTTGAAATGGTCGCGTGCCTTCGGAACCCAGAGGAACAGCTGCACAATTTCGAGCGGGAAATCAACGCCTATCGCATCCTGAAGCACCCAGGTCACTCTTTGTCCTTCTCGGTCTCCCACTCTTTATCCACGCTTTCCACCTCTTCTTCGACGATGCCGTCCTCCTACCCCTCGCCGATCTTGTCCTCCTCCTCGTGCTCGTCCTCCTCGTTTTCATCCTCCTCGTCATTGTGCTTGGATTCCTCTTCGTAGTCCTCCTGGTCGTCCTTGCTTTCCCTTCGTTCCCAACTCTCTTCTCCTTCTCGTATCCTCCTTGTCGTCCTCCTCTCCCTTTAGTTCTTCGTTTTGTGAGCCGAGTGGACAAAAGCGGTGCTTTCCGCTCTTGTCCTGTCCGGTTTCTAACCAAGGGGTCCTGGTCGCACCAGGAAATTCATTGGCGGATGAGTGGGAACGCGCTTAGACTCGAAGAGTCGCGCGACGGACGTCGCTTACAGGCCCTCAGGGAATATTTATCATTTGAAGAGGTCCAGGAGCGAAGTGGCTCGTGGTCGCTCCGCGGACGGACATTGGCGGATGATGAGAACGCGCTTAGACTCGAAGGGTCGCGCGATGGACGTTGGTGCGGACCCGGATGATTATGATTGTGAAGGCCTTACGGCTGGTGCCGCCGACCCAGAAAGATGACGACGACGATGACCACCACGACGACGACAACGACGAGCTGATGACCATGCCACAATCTCGGGACATGTGGCGGGCGGTGGAGGGAGGAGGAAGAGGAGGAACAGGAGGAGGAGGAGGTGGAGGAGGAGGCGAAGGAGGAGGAGGGGAGGGAGGAGGAGGCGGAGGAGGAGGCGGAGGAAGGGGAGGAAGGGGAGGAAGGGGAGGCAGGGGAGGGGGAGGAGGAGGAGGAGGAGGAGGAGGAGGAGGAGGACGACGACGAGGAGAAGAAGAGGAGGAGGACGAGGCGAAAAAGAGGAGAACAGGAGAAGAAGAGCAGAGGAGAAGAGGAGAGGAGGAGAGGAAGAGAGGAGGATAATAGGAGGAGAAGAAGGATCAAGACCAGTGCATATACAAGACTCATCTACGATGTTGAAGTACACCCTCCCTCCTGGATGTCTCTTCATAGGCCCCTACACGGGGCCATGTCCACTGAGGGAATTGCCCCGTTGGTGGACAACCGTGTGTTGGGGGACAACCAAGTGAACATCTTGAAGCGTGCCAAAACACCATTATCAGGACTACAACGCCACGAGGGAGCCTGACTGTTACGTCTTGGCGACCCTGAGTCTTGCCAGCGCACAAGTCCTGGGACTTGAACACTTCGAGTCAACGTAACTGCTGCGCCTTGGCAATCCTGAATCGCTCCAAGACACGATTTCTGGTACGTGAACCATGAGAATCAGTAAAGCTCTTGCCAATGTTTAACACGAGTGTGCGCGGCGCTAAGGCGAGAGCCACATTTTGACAAGGAAACGCGCCCAACCAGCGAAGCTCTTGCAATGCTTGAAAAACGAATGCGCGCGGCGCTAATGCGATCGCCACATTTTGAAAACGAACCGCCCTCAATCCGTGAAGCTCTTGACAGTGTTTAAAACGAATGTTGGCGGCGCTGAGGCGAGAGCCACATTTTGAAAACCACCCGCCCTCAATCCGAATGCGCGCGGCGTTAAGGCGGGAGCCTCGTTAAAAAAACGGCCCGCCGTCCATCTGCAAAACTCTTGCAAGCGTTTCGAAAAAATGTGCGTGACGTTGAGGCGAAAATCACGTCTTGAAACCCACCCGCCATCCGTCTGTGAAACTTTCGCGATCGTTTGTTAACGAATATGCGCGGCGCTTAGGCGAGAGCCACATTTTGAAAATCCCCGCCCTCGACCCGTGGAGTTCTTACACTTTGTGCTAAACAAGTGTGCGCTGCGCTCATCTGCGCTCCGGCGAGAGCCACACTGTGGAAACCACCCGCCCTCAATCCGTGTTTTAGAAGAGTGCGCGCGGCGCCAAGGCGAGAGCCACCTTTTGAAAATCACCCGCCCTCCATCTGTGGAACGTTTGCTTATTTTCAAGTTCCATGATAATAAACGGTGAGGAAGTCTCAGGCGAAACGCCCGGCCCACCCTTTCGACCGGCCTCGGGTTGCGACAGGGAAGAGTTATCAAGAAGGACAAGGAACGGATGATGATGAGGAGGAGGAGGAGGAGGAGGGGGAGGAGGAGGTGAAGAGGAGAAAAGGAGAAGAGGAGGAAGAGGAGGAGGAGCAGAAGGAGGAGGAGAGCCGTGTGTCTCCTCGGGGGCAGGCGTCTGGGAGGCGACGGGGCTGGGGCCGACTCCATGGGGCCCCGGGACCCTGGGCCCTAGGGGCGGGGCTGCGGCCGGGGTCGCGGGGGCTGGGGCCAGGGCCGGGTCCGGAGCTGGGGCCGGGGCCCAGGGCCAGGGGGGCCCTCCAGGGCCAGCGGCCGGGGCCAGGGGAGCGGCGGGGCCTGGGTCAAGTTTGCCAGCTCGAACGAGCCAGAAGGGCTCCGTCCACTCCCACCCGCCCTCCCACAACATAAGAAGCAAGTGCGTCTAGTCCGACGCCTGTCGCTCATCTTATATCGTGGGCGGCTAGACGTTCAGCGCGCGACATGAGCTGCGTCCTATTCCTGCCGCGTGCTGAGTAACGTCGGCGAGAAACAAGACCGCGCGCGATGTACGCCGCGCCCCACTCCGGCCTCTCATATTGCATCGTCGGCGACAACATGTCCAGCGCGCGAAGTGCGGCGAACCGCACTTGCTCGAGGCATTATGACTTGCCGCCCGCCCAGCTCGTGAACCCGACGGGCCGCAGCGTCGACGACAAGGAAGTCCATGTTGACGAGCAGGCGTCCCCGCGCGATGCGCGCCGCGTCCCGTTCCCGCTACGCGATTCGCAGCGCCGACGAGGAGCAAGTATATGTTGGCAAAGGAAACGTCGACGTCGCGGTGTTTTTTGACAAATAGGACGGAGGGTCCCGCGTAGGGTTGGCCAGGCGTCCGCGCGCGATGTGCGCCTCGTCCCATTCTTGCTACACTTTTCGCAGCGTCGACGACGAGAAAGTCCATGTCGACGAGAAAAGCATGTTCTTTGTATTGTTTGTTGGTAGGTAGGATGCGACCACACGCTAAGGGTTACCCAAGCGATGTCCACTCCGTGACATTTAAGCTACACTTTTCGCAACTCGACGACATGTTGGCGAGATAAAAGTTGAGTTTGTGTGCTTATATATGTATATAGATATATACATATATATATATATACATATATATATATATGCACATACATACATATATATGCATATGTATATATATATACATATACATATATATATATATATAAAAGACGGCGGGGCTGCAATCGGCCAGTTCGGTAGGGATGTGGGGGCGTTGAATCATCGGAAGTAAGGATTGGAGCCTCGGGCCGGGGCCGGGGGCCGACTGGGGCCGACTGGGGCCAGGGCCGGGCTCCAGGCCGGAGCCGAAGTGGAGGCGGGGAGAGGGGTCCTGAGCTCCCTCTCCCACAGGGGGGAGCGCCCGGGGGAGGGGGGAGCGCCCGGGGGAGGGGGGGCCGGCCCCCGCGGTCCAGGGGGGGGGGCGGTCGGACCCAGGGCCTCCCCCTGGGCCCCGCCCTACCCCCCCCCCCCCCCGTCAGGGAGGGGAACTGAACCACGACGTTTTTTTTTCGACGTTTCCTTTTTCTGTTCGTTCTCAGATTTCTGTTAGACTGGCGACAAGACGACGACGACGACGACGAAGACGACGACGAAGACGACGACAGCAGTTCACACACGCCGAACGGGTCGGCGGGTTTCTTAGAGGAGAGGGGCGGGGAATGGCTCGGGGTCGCTCCGCGGCCCGGGGCGTGGCAGACGACGGTGAGTTCGTTCAGACGCGAGGAGTCGCGCGATGGACGTTGCTGCGGAACTGGTGGGAAGTATTTTTCGACAGGGGAGGTCCAGGATTGGAATGCTTCGGTGTTGTTCCGCGGTGCGGAGGTGGCGGACGACGGGAAGCGCGCTGAGACTCGAAAAGTCGCGCGATTAGACTCGGAGGGTCGCGCGATGGACGTCGTATCCTGGCCCGAAGGGAACAATTTTCAGCTGGGGAGGTCCAGGAGAAAAATGATTCGGGGATTATCATTGATTCGCTCGCGGCGGATGACGGGAAGCGCGCTTAGACTCGGAGGGTCGCGCGATGGACGTCGCCGATCAGCCCGGAGGGGAAATTTATCACGGGAGGGTCCAGGGTGGGAACTGTTCGAGGTTGTTCTCTGATTTGTTGGTGGCGGATGACGGGAAGCGCGTTTTGATTCGAAGAGTCGGGATGACCGTCGCTTGGAGTGAAATCGAATCAATTGGGACAAGTACCATCCTCCTTCTCCTGCTCGTTCCTCTCTCCCTCTCCTCCTTCTCCTCCTCCTTCTCCTCCTTCTCCTCCTCCTCCTCCTCCTCATCCTCCTCCGCCTCCGCCTCCTCCTCCTCCTTCCTCTCCTCTACGCTCGTCTCCTCCTCTGTCCGTGGAGGCGTCCAGAGACATCTGGACACCCCTGGCCTCTAGGGACCTTTCTTCTACGCTTCCCCGCCACGCTGATAGCTGAGGGGTCCGGAGGTCGCCTCGACTGTCTCGGAGGCCGCATCGCCTCGAGCAGCCAGTCAAGTCCAGCCTCGGTGGTATTCGGCACTTCCTCCTGCAATTCATCGCGCTCTTTTGCAAGGAGTTGGTGTTCACCCCTCCCAGCCCAGACGATCCCCTTCACACATCCTCCCACCCTCCAGGCACCAAGCTCGCAAGCCAGAGGGGGGAGCTTCTGTCTGAGATGATCCGAGGTGTAGTCGGGTACGTCGGCTGCGTGCTCGAGCCTCCTAACCTTGCCATTCTCACCGAGTACCTGCCGAAGGGCAACATATTCAACTTGCTCTACATGAACCGGGTTAATTTGCCAGCTGCCATCCGCCTGAGAATTTCATTGCAATTGACAGAGGCGGCCATCTCTGAAGTTCGCTCATGCTCTTTATGTTGTGCCCACAGCTAGACGTCTTCCTGCAGTGCGCGGAGGAGGGGAGGTGAAGGATGAGAGGAGGATGTGGTTGGGAGCAGCGACAGCAGAAGGAGAAGTAGGAGGGAGGAGCACCAGTAGGACGTAGAGCAGGAGGAAGAGGAGAAGTAGCAGCAGCAGCAGCAGCAGCAGCAGCAGCGCGCGGGTGCCTGCCCGGTCCTCCCGCGAGGTAGTTGTTCAGGGCTGCATGGGGGGTGTGCGCAGCGCCGCTGCCCGTTCCTCTGATCCACCCTCTGCTTCGTCCTCCTCGTCCTCGTCCTGCACCTCGGCTCTGGAGGGTCTCTGGGGGGGGGGGAGCCCTTCCGGGGATCTTCCGAAGGCGAGTCCGCTGTTTGCTGCCCTGCCTTGCCCCTTCCGGGCGCACTGATCCCGGACCACCTTTCTGTGCGTGGCCCTCCCCGAGCCGACACGCCCGCCAACGATTACGCCGACGCGTCGTCCCGGCTGCTCGGGGCCACGGCACTTGCTGTAGGCGTCCACCGAATATTGGCGATTTGTCCGTGATCGTTGCTCATGACAAGTGTCTGCATGGAAATGCATGTGCCTTCCAGAGCAAGTTCGGGACATGTTGACAAAGTTGCCGACTCGTGGGTGCACGAGAGAGCGATCGGTCATCGGATCGAGCGGGCAATGTGTCTGTGCGCGCGATGTTGAAGTATACGCTGCCAGCCACCACTGTTGGCGTCACATGTTGACGTCATGTCCTTGCAGAGTGTGATGTGCGTTTCTCGTGCGGACGAGCCGTGTGAGCGTGTGACATTTTTGTTTTGCGACCCGCCCGCGACCCACCCACATTGCGTTGACGAAGCGGGCTTGCTGTGTACTGTGTAGAAAATCGGCGCCTGCGGCGGGCTTCTCCAAAGCCTCGCAGAGTGCCGACGATCCCGCTTCCCTCACGTTGCGCAGACTATGGCACTGCTCGGGGATCCTTGTTTCCTCACACCAATGACCACTGCGTGTCCGGGGTACCGCGGCGGATGCACCACGACGAGGGGCTGCTGGTTGTCCCTGCTCTGCCCACAAGCGCGCAGAGTGGAGAGGCGAGGCCACTTCAGGGCCGACGCGGGGCGAGGGATCACGCGGGCCAGAAGGGGGCCGTGCGGGGGACCGCGCGGTTTGGGCCGTGCGGGCAGGGGGGGCACGAGATGGGAGACCACGCCACACGGATCAGCGGGGGGGGGGGGGCGGGGGACCAAGCGGGGGCCATGTGGGCCACGCGGGCTGGCGGGCCTCGCGGGGGACCACGCGGGGCCCAGGTCCTCCGACGTGGTGTCTGCCTTCGCGGCCTGGGTTCTCTGGACGCTCCGTCGGCCGACTGGTCTTCGAACTCCCGGCCGTTCTGCTGATGGCCCAGGGGCACGCAGCGGGCCTCCAGGGGCGAAAAGATCGGGAACACTGGCGGCCTTCATTATGTCGTGACGAAGGAAACTTGGGGGGAGGCAGTTGCGCCATACGGCCAGACCGTGTTGTACCGGGGGGTCCATGTGGTATTATTTGTTTCCTCCTCCTCCTCCTTCTCCTCCTCCTGCTCTTCCTCCTCCTCCTCATCCTTCTTCTTCTCCTCATCGTCATCATCACCACCATCATCAGCAGCCTCTGTATCCATCTGGGCTCGGGGCGCTCTGGCTCAAAATAGTGCAACAGCCGAAGACTGCGAGTCGTTCAGCGGCGCTTCGAGCACGTGGCTTTGCGCTTGAGCCCGAGGTCCATCCAGAGCGGCCCTCGAGGCCACAATTCCATATCGGGCGCGGCGGGCCATGGGCGGCGGTGGTCGGGCTCGCAGCGTGGGCGGCAGCGCTACTGAGGGCAGGTGCAGTCAGAAGGGCGGCTACGGCAAGGGTTCGTGGGACTGCGCGGAGTGCAACTGCAAGGACAACCACAGGTGGAGATCCTCCTGCAGGAATCGCGAAGCCTGGGCACCAAGCTGGCCACCGCTCAGCAAAGGGTCGTCTTCGAGGGCATCTTCCAACGAGGAGAATCAAACCTCGTGGGGCGAGCAAGCCTGGCGCACCAGGGAAAAGAAGAAGAACACAGCCAATGTACTGAAGTTACTAACAGAGCAGGCCGCCACCATCGAAGCCCTGCGCGAAGGCAAGGGAGGCAACGGCAACGACGAAGCAGCTGACGGCCAAGCAGAAACTATTGCACCAATGGCACCAAATCAGATCGCAGACTTCAGGAAACAACTGGACAAGCGCAGATCAGAGCTCAAAGCGTTGGCACGCGCGGAGGGCGCGCACGAGCTGGCGATGACCAAGCGCACGGATGTCAAGAAGCTGGAGGAGGAACTCGTAGCCAGCCATCCCCTCTCTACACGAAGTAAAGGTTTGGAATGGAAGCCCACTAAGCACAACAAGGACTACGAGCACTACGCGGGCGAGGCCAAACGGGCTGCAGAAGAAGCTGGAGGCCGCCACCACCAGGGCAGCGGAGGTCAGGAACGTTTGTGAGCAGTGCCAGAAGCACCTCGACGAACTGCTGGAGGAGAGGCGGAAGGCAGCGGCGGGCGGAGGGACCACCGAGGACGACAAGGTCGAATAACCGGCAGGAGGAGACCCGGCAGTCGACGCCGCAAGACGAGCGAAACATCTCCTGGGCCTCCTCGACAGCGCGAAGGGCACCCTCGCCAGCGAGCACAGGGCAGTGTTCGCCACGATCGTCGGCCCAATGGAAGCGATCGTGATGCAGTTCAGCCAGACCACTTGCGGACTCCAGCGAGATGGACGGCGAGCTGGGCAGCGAGCGCGACGCGGCGCTGGAGGACCCCATGGGCGCAGATAGCGGTGATGGCAAGCATGAAGCTGGTGAGCGCGCAGCTGGAAGCAGCAGCGTGGAAGGCACTGGAACGGCAGTGGCTGCTAGTAGCGGAGCTGCACCACAATCGCAATCCCAGAGCGAACAGGAACGCGCACCAGCCAAGCCAGCAGCTACTCTCAAGTTCAAGGACATCGGCGCGGGGAAGCGGATGCGGAAGTTAGCGGGCAAATCAACGAACGGAGCGCACGGGGGGTAGCCGGAGCGAAGCAACGGAATTGGGCGCCCAGGTTTCGGAGGAGGCAAGCGAGGAGAATGCCACCAGCTGATTGAGCTGGAGCGAGTGCTCCGCACAGGCCGGGTCCGCCAGCGAGCGCGCGCCGAAGACGTCGCTCCGGGCGCGCAGCGCGAGGCGCATGGGGCCCCGCGAGAGAGGAACGAGTTTGGCGAGGGCGCGAGCATTCGAGGCGCTCGAGGGGGGGGGCGCGTGAGGCGGGCGGCCGAGGTCGCCGCTTGGACCGAGGCCATCGGCAACCTGGATTGACTGAACAGTTGTGCCCCGCATGTCGTAGCCGCACCAGCAGAGGGCGCCCCCCCCCCCCCCCCCCCCCCCCGCGGCCTCGTCGCGAACGCCGGCGAGGCGAGGATTCGGCAGGCGCGAGAGTTATGCGAAAACGCGCGGCCGCTAGCCAGAGGAGGATGGATCGACTCCACGCGCCGTCTTGCCCGTCGAGCAGAGCAGTCGCGGGCTCGGCGCGGGCGGCCCAGGGCGATCGCCGAGGAGGAGCTGAAAGGGCGAGACACAGCGCATGAGCCAGGCCACGCGGCTCACGCTTGGACATAGGAGGCCGCCGACATCCTCGGGCCAGAGCGGCGGGGGGGCCGCGGGAAGGGGCGACGGCGACCCCGGCCAAGACGGGCGCGACGAGGGTCGCGAGGCGGGGGCCGAGATGGACAGCAGCGGCAACGACGACCAGTCTGACCGGCATTCCATATGCAGCGGCGGTTGCGATTCGGAGCTCAGCGACGGACTCCTGGACAGGGCCGCGCGCCAGGAGGCGAAGAGCGGCGAACGGTGATCGCCCGCGCCGAGACCAAGAGATAGAAGCAATATGTTGGGCGAGAGGGCGGATCAGACGCGGGCGGGGGGGGGGCGAGTTGCGCGTGGCGAGGTAGCTGTCAGACGGCAGGTCCGTCCACGTGCTCAGCGGGCGCGGGCGGACTTCGCGGCGGCAAGAAAGCGAGATGCGCGAGAGAGCGCGGGGCACGGAGGCAAGGGCCAGGGCGAGATGCACGCACTGGCTCGGAAGCCCCACGCGCAACCAGTGGACGGCGGCGGTCGCCATCCACAACTGCGAGCACGCCGCGCTGGGGAGATGGATGGCGGACCCAAGTGACCCAAGCGTTGAACGATTAAGCGGGTGGCCAGCGCCGCCAGCGAGGCAACTCCTGCGCGCGGGAGAGGAGCTCGCGCGAGGGGGCACGGGGCTGGGGGCATCCCGTTGGCCGAGGCGGCCCCCTTTGGGCGCGGCGGCGCGGACTGCCCCCCGCCGTCGGCCGCCGCGGCCTCCGCGCCGCTGGCGAAGACCAGCCGCGCGCAGAGCGTCGGAGGCGTCGACGCGGTCGGCGCGAGGGGTCGCGGCCGACGCAGCCGTCTCAAGGCGGGGGAACGCGGACTGCCCCGCGCCGCCGGGCGCTGCAGCCCCGCCGCCACGGCGAAAGAGGGCCGAAGATACGGCGGCGCGCTCGAAGGGCGGGGGCGACCACTCGGCCAAGCGCCCAAGGTCGGTCGGGCCGCGCAGACGGACGCCACCCGCAGCGAGCGCACAGCAGGCCAGCGAGGCGAGCCAGCCAACGAGCATGAGGGCGAAGCGAGTCACGCTGACAAACCGATAGAGAACGACGCCAGGAAGCCGCGGTGGGCCAGCCGAGGAGGCGCGCTGACCATCGCCTGCGCCAGCGGCAGTGGGCGGGGTTCACTCGCAGGCACCCTGGACAGGCACGCGGAGACCGGCGGCGCGCACAGGGCCGACGCGCATTGCATCCATGAGCGCCACTTCCACCAGGGTGCCATCGACGCGGATGTGAAGTGGCACAGGCAGCGCGGCCTCAGCGCGTCGCTACGGCGCGGCGCCAGGCAGGAGATCAGCTCCGACGCGAGGGGGAAAAGA